GCATAAGCTCAGATCAATGAGGCCTACGATCAGTCAGTTCCAAAAAGAAATTCAAAACCTGTGCTAATTGAAAGAAAACTAGTTTTGACAAGTAACACCAGATTATGTAAAGGTTTTTTAGCACAAGGGATAATAATAATTGTAAAAAATGCTACATATAGGAAAGCAAATAAACACAAAATGTGAATGCAACGTGCAAAGTTTCATAGCATGCATTTTCCTCTATGAAAACATTAGAAAGAAATGTGCAGTTTAGTGTGTTGTGTCTATAATCTGGGTTTATCTGCTTGCTTTTATACAGTTTGCATCAGCAATAAGGTGTGTACTGAGTTTGATCTTTTAAAATGGCTGTTTTAGTCCATTAAGCCACATGAGGCATTTTAGCAAGTGCTGTATATGAATCACAAGAGCCCAAAACTAAAAAATTTTTCACAGATATTTGTTTTTCTTCTTTTGAGAGGTGATCTAAATATTTGTAACTTAAAATGTGTTGAAAACTGACAGACCTGTGCTGCAATTTATGAATGATTTGTCCTCCAGTCATGCGACTGAACACTGTGACATGTCTCAGTATGTTTGTTTAGTTATTTTTGCAAATAGTCTTTTTGGCATCAGTCGTTGAGTGTCTTTGGGCAACTCATGAAGCTGATGTGAGCAGGAAGTGTCTTTAAGGACAGTGAAGCACAACACAAGTGGTTCCTGTGACGTTAGACATGCACACGTGTTTTTCCAGGAGGAGCAGGAGTACATGGAGCTGGTGGCGGCAGAGAAACACCAGCAGGAGGCGCTAAAAGTGGCACAGGATCGGAATAAAACCCTGTCCATGCTGGATGAGATCCTGGAGGACGTGAGGAAGGCCGCAGACCGTCTGGAGGAGGACATCGAAGAACACGCCTTCGACAACAACAAACAGGTGCAGGTTTCGCAAACACAGCTGTTCTAGATCAAATACAGCGCAGTGAAGAAATGTCTCTGAACCTGAAATACAGGACCTACTACACATACAGTAATGTGATACACTTGACATTGACTGAACACAGCATGTTTAACCACCACAAATATCATGAAGAAACACACACACACACCTGAGTCAATAGCAGAGCAGAACAAACATCTTACAGTGAGACACAAACTTATGAATGATTCCATAATGAAAATGATCAACACTAACAGTGAACTTCATTATCAGTTGGGTCTGTGTGTTAAGCTTGGAAAACCAATTGCACCTCTTTTTACAGCAGCAACACATTCATCAACAGCAGATCATGAGCAATCGCATGGCATAAATGATTGTGAACTGATCTGAAACTGTGAGCTTGTAGAACGTGCAACAACACTGCGTTTTTATTCTGAACATGCAGTACTCGCATTTAATTCAGTTACAGCACTTTGACATTTAATAATCATATATTAGGCTGTATCACAATTCCTGTTTTTCCGTCTCCAAATTTAGGACCACTTAAAATAATGATTAAGCTGTTTGTTATACCATTTAAGATGTTTAAGACTTTTTATGTCCTCAAACTTCATAAAACCAAATATTTGATACTTTTTAAGGACCCGCGGGGGTTTTTTTATTTGTAACTACAGTAACATCATGTTCACACAGCGCACACAATTCCTCTGC